ATGGCCTGGTCACGTGACGTCCTCCAAATGAAGCACCTCATGCTTTAAATGAACCACATCTTGGGATGCTCCCCTGGGCGCTCCAACTTGAATAATACAATAGCACATTTATCAGCTAATGCTAATTAGACTGTTGCATAGAAACAGGAATAATGTACAGTAATGTTTCCTACGCTTCCTCTGTAAGAGGGGTGTTTCAAGACAGCAGCAGCTTCTTCAATGCCACTGGGATTTTATGGACCCTCAAGAATACAATGATTTATTGGAGTCTCTATCTGCAGGTGATCATTTTGACACGTACACAGCCAATATGGCAAGACTTAGCTTGCCAAAGACAATTAAAATAAAATAATAATAGCAACTTGTCCTTTTTTATGGATTTTTGGCTACACATTTTGTCTTGTCTATGAACTTTTCCCCCATTTAAAAGATATAATATTATGTTTGCATGATTTGCATAATTGCTGTGACATTGGAGAATAAAAAGATAGAAAAAGATTAGTCTCTTTTCAAAAATGTGAACAGCTTGAACCGCTCACGTCAAGGAGCTGTTTTTCCCATGAATGTTACATAGCTGCCTTAGCTAGAAACCCATGAACTGGCTTGTTAAGGTTATCTTTCTGGAAACATTATTTGATCTATAAAGGATATAATAAACATCAAACTTAAGACTAAAGAAGACTAAATAAATTAAAGCCTGGGAAGAGAAATCTGAAGTCACATTGAGCAATGAACTTATGTTCCTCTTTTTCATGTTTTATATTTCATTTCATAAGTATTCTCTGTTAAGTCTAATAACTCTTACACATATTTCTTTTCTGAGGGAAAGACCAACAAAATGTATTATTTTCACACTTTGGCTGAGAAGATTTTAAACAGCTGTTAACTCCCTCTCGGTTTTGTTTACCACTTGAGGTGTATTTGAAGGATTAAGACAGTCACTTATGATTATTACACAACCTCATATGAAGCAGTGGCTGAGATTAACATCCTTATCAGCTAAATTGATCGTGCTTTTGTCAACTCATTGATTCTATTTACATTTTTATTCCTAATATCTTCAATCTGTTTATTCTGCCAGATCTGGTAATAACAAAGCCTTATTAGCATCCAGATCCACAGTGTGCTAATCTCTGAGTGCTACTGTATACAGCGCAATGCTAATGTTGTTTTCACTGGAACTCGACAAAAGCAAACAGTTCTTTCCCTGGAAATGAAGTGTGGAGATTACAGAAATGAAAACTGAACTCAAGTTAAGTTGTAAATTCTACAACTAAATGTGTCCACATATCATTAAAGTTCAAATATATCTTTACACATGACCCTACTGAAAAACTACATCAGCAAAAGGAAACATGGAACTCTCTGGCTGTAATGTGTGTGTGGGCGTGATGTGAGACCTGACATTAATCATTTGATAACAAGACAAATTGTATTACACTTTGTGTCTGTCCTGGATGTGGGTAAACTGACAAGGTTTTATGAACCACAGCTGTTTAATGCAAAATCAATTTACAAATCACAAAACATTGGGCTACATATTCTCTGTTGTGCTGAAGAAGAAGAAGAAGCACTTTTAGACTGGCCAAAGGTCTCAATCTGTAACAAGAGACCTGTCACTGACAACTGCAACAAGACAAAGCACATGAGCTCCATATCAGTCCTTACATTTGTATGCATACATTATAGTGCAGTGTGTGTTCAGAGAGGGCCATCAAAGTCCTTTGTCAGTGCACAGTCTATAGGAGTCATCTGAGACACAGACAACTGCAACAAACTATTGTTCACAGTCCTTTCTCATTAAGAAAATATGAACCAATCAAGTTGTTTGAATGTTTGTAAAGAGAAACTGCTTTTGATGAGCCTAAAACAAGGAAAGAGGAGTCATTTTTGCAGCATGCTGCTTTGTATTTGTTCCACCTCCGCAACAAGCCTGCATCTGCTAAACATCACTGTCTCCCTGATTGTCACTACACATGCACTGTGCACTATGGTGTTTGAAATTCTAATCAACATGCTCCTCGTGCCTGACGCTAAAAACACAGGGAAACAGTATAAAACAGTGTAAAGAGCCAATACTGAGCACAGGCAAACATTTGTTTGTCAAGCACTTTATAGCACAGTTTTAACTGCATTTGCATTTGTCTTTATTAGACTGGAAACTGCACAAATACTCATAAGATTAAATTAGATTCCCACACAAGAGGAGATTAGTTCTATGCACTTGTGAACAACTGGAGATTTGGGCTCATAATGGCTTCATTTGTAAAAGGAATATACAGTGAAATATACAGGGAATAGTACACCAATATAGAGTTGCCTTGTGCGCAGGGACTTTTGGGAAAAAATATTGAGATGTTAATGGAGGCTTTGTGCATTTTTCTGATTAACAGCAAACACAGCATCTATACTATACCAGTAGTTTCTGTACTCAATTTGTACATATTTTTGTCACAGGAGGTGAAGGTTGCTTAAAGTAAGTTATTATAAATGAAGTAGTAACTCATATCTATTGACACGAGCCAATACAATGAAAAAATATTTCTTCTATCCAATTACAGCATAACTAGTAAGTGACACTGCATTAACCAGTTTCTGTTTAATGAAAGAATTAGCCTGTAGTAATTGCATTCTATTTAATACTGGGCATAAAGTCTCAAAAGCACAAACACATATCTCTGTGTGTTTCTTACAAAGTGTCTGGGCTTGTCCTTCTGGGAGTTGCTCTGACACACAGCTCCATTCATTTTGAGCAATGATCTCATTTACATCAGTAATACAGCTTGCCTCAAAGTGCATTAAATAGTCATGATGTCTCGCCTATGATGGCTTCATTTTGTACGCAGCTAATGTCACACAAACAGACGTGGAAACATATTGCATGTGATCGATTGGGGTGTTAATCAATGGCGGAGCTACAGGGACCATGAAGTCGGCCTGTCAGTTAGAGTTTTACACCTCTGTGGCTGATGGCTGCTTTCTAACCAGTAACAGTAAAAGCTGGGCTTATCCCTTTTGGCTGGGCCAGAGTATATCTCACTTCTCTCAGTTACACCATGTCAGCATTAGTTTACTTTGCCTCTCTGCGGGGCTTATTGAGTTTTCAGACTTAATTCACTGTTTCATCACTGATCAATGTTTTATCACTGTTTTATCTTGACAATTGAACAATTGCCTAAGCTGTTTTACTCGGCTAACATTGGACTCCTGAGGCTCGCTGTGTGTAAAAAAGCCTTGAAGTGCTGCCCACAATTTATAACTCTTGTATCCAGCCGGCTCAGTGCAGCGCTCACTTATTTATGTGAGAGTTGCATAGTGTCTTTGATCTGGAATTGGGAATGCTTTACACATCTTGGTTAAGGAAGGACTGTAGTCAATATTTGGCCCAGGGTTATTTAATTTGGACAAGGAATTTGATTCATACATTAAAAATTCCAATTACCCTGTCAAAAGCTGAGCGCGCCCAGAGGAGGCAGCTTTAATCACACGGCTTTATCAAAGTCTTTAAATTGAGTTGAACACGGACAAGATCATACATTTGGCCTGGGGGAAGGTGATACCCACTAATCTATCCTAAAAGTAAACATTTAAAATACATGTACTAACTAATGTTTGTTTTAAATAGAAGAAATGCATATTTAAGGCATAAAATATTAATAATGATCTTGATTAGGCATGGATCAGCTTCTCAATCTAATTCATTCACTTCACACTTGATGGTGGTAAGCCTCTTTTGTACCTACAGCTGCCCTGGGGCTGACTGACGTGGCTTCTAATCTGCCTGCTGCCTCTCCATCCACTTCTACTGGTGTACACATCAAATTCACACAGCAAGATAAATGCCTTGCCCAAAGACACAACTACAGTATACACTGGTTGCACCTGGGATCAAACAGTAAGCTCTTTGGTCTGCCACCTGAGCCACATTGGGCCAGCATTGGAGCATGAGTAGCATAAAAGCACAAACGATGGTTTAATTCTCTGGTGGGATGACTCATCTTTCAGTGTCCACAGTCATGTTTGTCTTAAATGGGATCATGAATAGAAACTGCACTGTGAAAATGTGAGCCAGAGAAGGGTGTATTAACTAAAAGTCCATTGCCTCAGGTGCCTCCTGCCTAAGGTCTGTAGTTGCTGGGAGAAAGACATACGTGAATAAATGAAACATTAAACATTCTCTTTAAATTCAGCCTCATCGCTCTCAGTTACTAAAGTTTGTGCAGACGTCAAGGCTTGATTAATGTGAACACGTTTCTTTGTACCGCTTATTTGCAGCTTTTGTTTTTGAACATTTGTTTTGCTTTAACCAGCACATGAAAACGACGCATACAGCATAATGTCCATACTGTGTGTATATTCAGCAGTGTGACAGGCAGATGCTGGCTCCCTGTGCTAACAAACATCTCTGTGGTCAAGAAGAAATGGATCATATTTTTGATCGGTGGGTGGTCACAGCTGGACGTGGCATCTTACCATTCCTGAATCTATTTCACAAAGATATTACCCACATCTGAGGCGCTGTCATACATTTCCCATTCCATTTTATCAGCACTGGGAATGATGTCTGGCACAGCAAACAAAGTACGTGGAAAGTCCTTAAATAAAGCATGAAATTGCAGGGACGCTAGTGTAGGTACAGCTGCTCAGGTCCAGCCACTGTGCACGCCTCTCATTAAAGTGGGCTGCTCTCGCAATCAACACTTTTTATGCACAAAATGACTTCATTCATTTTCCATTAGGGGGATGAGATAAAATATACACAAGACGCTGTTTCTTCACACTTGAATTTGCATACATGGAGCAGAGAGAGACGAGAAGTTGCCTCATTTCAGCTGCTTGGTCATGGTGGTTTTAGCGTGGATGAAGTAAAGTTATTTTCAAAACATCTTAAGCGCTGCATATGTACAAGTCTGCAGCAGATTATCGGATGATTGACATGTGTTTATATGTGGCAAAGTTGGAGCAAGAATTACTTCTGATGAATTTAGAGTGACACTTACCAGGAAACTGGTAACTGTAGCTGGGTGTGAATCCAGTGTATCCACGGCCGTATGTCGCCACAATATTGGGATAACCTGCAAAAAAAGAGAAACGTGACATAAACACAAGACACATCACTAAGAAAACCTACAGTGTAGCAGTAAATTTTAACTGTAGAAATGTAACTACATGAACTGTATAACAGAAATATGACGTACTCTGTGTCTTTCAAGTACTTGATTTAGCTAAAACAAACCCTAATTATTTTTATAGAATCATATCTGAAGAAATCTCCAGATGTTTTTTTTTCTGAGAGTACAGGCAATAAATATTTAAACATAAGGTAAATGAGCACATTAAATCAGGATTAACATTGAAGAGCTAAACCATATCATTAAATGTAGTATATACAAAAGAGGATACTTAATTAGTACAATTATACAATTCATTACAAAGCGAAAGGGTCAAGTAAAATCAAAGAAAAAGGCATAGCTCCTGTATCTTGGCTGTCTCGATGTAACTCATTTTAATTCAGTCGACCATAAGTTGTCGGACGTTTTTATAGCCCACTATAATAACACTTTATGGCAGGCGCCGCATAGTGACGCTGGAGTCTGTTTATGTCTTGTTCTTTTGCAGATCGACACATAGGAGCAAATGTACAATAAGACAATAATATCTCAAAAGGAATTAATATCAGATTTTTTGTTCAGAACAGTTTTACACAGAAACACGGTTGTGAAAAATCTTCAGTCTCTTAAATAAATAAATAGGTCTTTTATTGAAAAGCTTTAAATATTGAAAGCAGAAGTGTTATGTAAAAGGTTTGGTACTTGGTTTATTCACTATAGATATAACAGGAGTGAGAGTCTTGTCTGGCACATTGCAGTTTTGAATTCTCATCTGACTACTGAATATACAAAGGGATCTGAGTCAGCTTCCTGTTTGCTGTTCACAGCTACAAGTTCAGTGAGAAACAAGCATCAAATGCAGCATCTATAAAATGTTTCTATAAAATTACATCTCATTTTACAGTTGCATTAATTACAAGCATTTAATACAATATGCATAATGTAAGTTTTTAAAGCAAGGCTGAAATGAGAAAAAAAGTGAACATCAGTATTCAATAAGCAGAGGTGGTAGTAGTCAGTTATATTTATGTATTAAACATTTGGTCACTCTTTCACTGTGACTAAGTCATCAAGAGGCAAATGCTTCCTTTGACAATATTAAATCATGTCTGTTTCTTGCACCACTCTTTCAGATATGATTTAGTTTTTCTCATATTTGTGGTCTGTTTTTTTTGTTGTTTTTTTAAATAAATGTGCATTGTTGAATGTTTTCTCCTTCCAATCTCATCTTCAAAATTAACTTCAACTTATAAATAAGACATCCAGACTGTTATCTTACTCTTATTTAAGAAGTTGTTAACCCAAATACTTGTCTTCTCTTATTTGGACTTTGTACTTCTACCTGAGTAATATTAGTAAGTTTGAAGTAATGTTACTTTAACTTGAGTACCATTTTTGCTATCCAGCTGTAACCTGTTTTAGGATTTTCAACCCTAAACTTGCCTGTATAATAGCTGACACTGTCCCATGTGAGCTGAAGGCCTATAGAGGAACTGGTGTCATTAGAAAAATTTAAGAGCAGCAGATGCATTGTTCATCTGCTGTCATGATTCTTATTACAAGCGCAGACCCAGCAGTTAATTAGCTGGACACTTTTCAGGCCCCAGCAGCTGTGGGCGACATATTGGGATCTAGGGTGTGAGCGTGTGGCCAGCGAGAGCCTTCAGTTCTGAAATCTGAGAGAACAACTGTGACAATGTGGATATTAACCAAACATAATTAATCCAATAATTGTCATAAACATATTTCCTTCTTTACTTGTATTACAGGGCTGCAGAATTAATCACAATCGAATTGAAACTGCAATTTGAAATGATGCAAAGGCAATTATTATTTATTTTTTTTAAAGGTGCACTGTGTAACTTTCTGCTTGTCACTGCCTGGAATGTTCCACAATATGACATTAAACAGCTTTACCTTACATTTATTCTTTTACGGGTGGCTTTATACCTCAAAAATAACTAGAAGACAGGCATTCTGGATTCTCCACAGATCTAACCTGTAACTTGGACTGGTTTGGTCTCCATGAAGATAGAAAAGTTTAATGCCATACTGTGGAACATTCCAGACAAAGCAATAACATTTCCATGGAGAAAAGCATTTGACACACTACCACCACAAAAGTTACACAACCTTTAAGTTCTACAGTTTCCTCAACAAACAATAATTATTCTTCATAAAACAGCTAACCCTGTAGTTTAGATGTTTACTGAAATGTGATTCTTGTTTTAGTTTGTCAGTTGATATTTCAGTCTTTTTGTTAATTCTTCTGGGCAAGTTTAAAATGTGAACCTATTATTACAACATAAATTGCAAATCTAATCACAATCACAATGCTTGTCAGAAAAATCACAGTAAGATATTTTTCCTAAATTGCTCACCCCTTTTTATGTCTTATTTGAGCTATTACATATTTGGAAGTAACAAATCTCGGTTAAACTTGCAATGAGAGCAAGGTTTCATGTGAGTAATGAATCACCAGAGTCTATAATACCTCTCTTTCACACAGGTAAGCTACAAAAGAAAAAGTGACCTCCAAAACCAAAGAGTCCTCAGCCTGTGGTAACAGTGCACTCCAGAATGTGAGCCTGTAAATGACAACACCTGCTACTACCTGGTGTAAAGGGAACAGACCTGAGGAACTTGTAAATGGGATGAAGACAACATATAAAATGAAATGTCTAGATTGTTATAAACTGGCACATAAAAGATATATGGAGGATAAAATACTGTCACAAAAATTATTCCAGTGGTTAAAAAAATCTTTAAAATATAAGCCACAAGTTGTTAAAGTAAAATATGTATCTTCAGATCAACTTGTACAGCTATGGCAGTATAGAAACTATCAATGCTAAATCATTGTATTTCTAAACTTACAAAGTATAATGTATTTATTTTTGTTGATATGGTTGGAAATAAGATGACTAGCTAATGCACTGTACATACAAACTAGATATGTTATGTTTCTTTAAAAATGTGTCCTAGAATTTTGTGAAATAAAAATATATATTACACTCTACTGTTATTATGTTGTTGTTTTTTTCTTACAATCACATGCATAATCTGACACTATGTGTATGAGTAGCAGCTGTTTTCATTGTCTTCCTGAGTGCATTTGAATGCAGAGGCTTGTATTGTGTTGTGCATGGTGGATGGACGTGGCATGTGTGTGCATGCTCTACTCTGTATGCCTCAGAGTCTGTGCCAGCTGGAATCAGAAAGGTTGACCTTGGTCATAAATATCTAATCAGTGTTTGCTGTCCATGAAAAAGTTCAATTTATTCCTGACCCAATGGGAAAATGCCTCTCTCAGACCCTCTCGCCTCTCCCGCGCAGACAAAAAGAAATGTGCGTCTGAGAGGCTGAGCTGAGCGAGGAGAGCGTAACCTGGTCTGGATGGGGTAGGATGGAGGCTACAGCGAAAAATAAAATCTTCATCAGCCGCTGATGAGAAGTCATCACCAGGAAGCCACAGATGGATAGCTTTCACAAAAGCCTTTACTGTTTGTTTGCCCTGAAAAGAACTGTTATCCGATACGATGAAAAGCTATTACAGACCACCAAATATTGGATATGATGTGTTTGGTACTGTCTTACAGTCAAACACAATAATGCCCAGCTGAAATGGTTGGCTTATATAGAGTATAGAGCCTTATACTTCCTATTTCAAAGCTATTTCCTTGCGCTGATACTTGCATTAAAATGCACCTCACATGCTGAATGAAGGATTCCCAGCCAGATGTGAGTGTCTGAAGGGAGAGGACTTGGAGAGTGTTAAGAGCAGATTGAGACATACTCAGATAAGTAAGTTGTATTTACTAAGCTTCTGCTATCTTAGTAGTGTAAATACGGGAACATATTTATAAAGAGTTATTAAAAAGAGCAGGCAGGAATGATTCAAATTCAGGCTCTTCAAACGTGTTTGTAAGCAAGCCTGTTATTGTGTATGGCCTGGTGACGGCCTTGTGCTGCTCCCTTTGCCTTATTAATATGCATGCTAATGTACCTATTTTATGGCTCAACAGTTCTGATTCACTTTAAAATCAATTATCCATCTGCTGCAGCCATACCTCGTGCGGCTCAAATGTGTATTAATTTCAGCAAACATACATCGAGCACAACACAATAAAGATAAATGCCCCGATTAGAGGTGGTAAACAAAGGGGCTAAGGATGGCTTTAATGAGATTTGGCACAAAAGAAGCTTACACTTTCTTAAATAATGAGCCTGGGGTCCCTGTTTTTTCCAAATGCAAATTATATAAAGGAATGTTTCGCTGTCCTTGTTCCAATTTCATTTAGATAAGAGCGTCTCCAAACAAGTTGGCGGTTAATATTCTCACATGAGCACATCACTGCCTCCGTGCTGTCGTGTCCCAGCGGAGGAGAAGAGAGCGCGCCTCTCCACACACGCATTAGGGGGCGATAAGTCTGGAAAAGTTCACTGTGCTTGTTAAATACAGCCAACAGATGAGATGTGGCACACTCACATCGAGCTGACAGAGGCATTCGAAAGGGCTTTGCAACACTTTGATCACAAACAATGGAAAGGTCAAGTAGACTATTAACTTCTGATGTAATGTAGATTCAGAAATTAAGTACGGGAAAACTCAAAAGACAGACTAAATGTGAACAAATGTATTTATGGCAAGATATGCAATACAAAATGTGAATTCTTGTGTGAGGGGAGGGTTAGATCTCATCTGTTAGAAAGTGGGTTGTGAATTCAATGCTATCAGCTGCCACAGTCATGTCTATTAGATGTCACAAGGTGGGTGTCTTGCCCAGTGACACAGAGACAGAATGTCCTCTAACTGCTAAGCCCTTGTCACCCAACCAGGGCACTTGATATTTCCAGCGGTCTCTCTTCCCATAACTAACTAGGCCTAATTTTGCTTATCTTCTGGAGATCAAATGAGATTGCACACGGTACCTCTTTAGTCCTAACTGTTGTTGTCTAAGTAACAGCCCTCCCACGCTCACCTGTGGTCACTAACAACAAAGGATTCTGACTTTTGTGGGGAATGCTGTGAGGTTATTATTGTAAGTCTTAAACAAACCATTTTGGAGCCCAATTGTTCTCTCTTTTTTTGTCCATTTACAGAAACATAATGTAAAACATGCAACAAATACGTAATTCGCTCCCCTGATTTTCAAAGCCTTTGCACCATTACCTGAGACAGACCAAGCTGCACCTGCCACCAAAGAAAGGAGGAGGGAAGCTTATTCACACGCAAAAAGAGCCTTTCATCATCTTCCCTTTGCATTTGAAGCAACTGATAAATCTTTTAAGTGAGGGCAAATTCGTTTGAGGGGTCGCACATACAAATGACACCTAATGAATGAAAGGTGGACGAGAGACAGGTGCAGACAGGTGCAGACAGACAGATTGCATGGACAGAGAGACAGAATGCAGCACGAGGAAAGTGCAATAGTGTTAAATAAAAGGGCTTGGGGCGGGGGCTGGATGGTAATGAGGAGCGGTGGGCAGCAGCTGAGGTCCCTGTAGATGAGATCTCTCACTGACATGTGTGTCCCCTTCATTACCCATTAAGGGGGGCACAGTGATGAATCCTTAATATGACATTACACCAATTTTCCTCTTCATTTAGCCTGCTAATGTGCTGGTCTGCTCCTATATGCCCAGGGGCGGCCCGGCACCACACTCCACCAGAAATAGACGGCAGTGGCCACCAGTGGCACACCTTCACACCGCCTAATTAGGGGCAGTGCCCAGTGAAAGGGGCTATCCGGAGCTCTGTTTGGGTAAGTTCATTTTGTAACAGGTAGAAATGGATGATGACTGCATGACACACCAGTCTGACACATTTCATGCAAATAGCCAATGTCTAACACTTGAAAATTGCATTTATGTGTCGATTGAAAAGATCAGCGTCAATGGTTGAAAGGATTCTTTTTTTTTTTAATGTCACAACTTGAGTTGTAGGTAAAAAGTTAAGTGTGGATCATTTGCGCAGCATGAGTTAAGAAAACAAAAATTCTGAAAATAAATAGCAGTAACAAAAATCCTTTATCTACACCTCCTCCTCTTCCTTTTTATGATTCTTGTTGAGCCAAATCCTTAAATCACTACGGCCTATAACAGGAATATCATTTTGACTGCCATTTCCCCTCCCCTGGTTCCTGAAAATGATTTTCTATCTCAGAGAAACAAAGGACTATTTACCCGTTCTTTGAGTAATATTTGAGAATTGCTCAGAAATAAACAGCCATTTGAAGTGTGACAAGTGTTTACATGAGTCATGCTTATTTTGAGCTTGTCTCTCATATCTCAGGTTGTGTAAACCTTTGAATTGGTCTACCATTAACATAATTATATGTAAACAAGTGTTTGCACACACAGCAATGTAATGATTGACAGTAAAATAATTAAAAGAAAAGTACAGAGTGCAAAGTGTTGTAGTGTAACAATCCAATAAGCTGTCTATACTATACACTGTTGAGGAAAACTATACATGTTTTTATCTACAAAAGAAGTTTTCAGATTTATTCCACTGCAAATTGTTTCAGCCAAATGCCTTGAAAGTGCTTTGTATGTGAGGCAAAAGCTGGTTTATTTTAGTGCGTGTCTCTGGATACTCACTCAGCATGCCCATTCCCAGCATGAAGGCATCCATGGTGTAGGGCAGACCCCGGGCTCTCCCTCGCGTGCCCGGTGGGAACATCACCTCCTTGGGCTGGGCCTTCTTACATTCTACCTATGGAGACAGACGCACATAGACACACATACACACAGATAGAGCATTAGTCTCTGTAGGCACGCGGGCAGACAGCTCTGACGGGCCTGTCTTAGTTCTTTAAGGCATCTTGTGTTCCACTGCGCTGCATGCTCTCCATAGAGAAAAACAAGCCCGAGACAATGGGAACAGCTCATATTTTAGAGCCAGGCCTCAACGGGAAACTAACAATCATGCTCCTTCGGCATTAAAGCAAAGGTTATTGCTCCAGTGAGCGCATACTGTGGGCCTCAGGGAAATCCAAGCTAAATACTTTCCAACAGTTCTGCAGGCATCAAGGTAGGAGACGCTTTGTTCTACACCCAGAGTCCCACAGCGAGCCAGTGTGTCCAGGCGCTTTACAAAAGGCCCCATTTGTAGAACAGCAACATCGCCGAGATAATACCTGTGATCATAAGCCTAATTATTAGCAAAGGGCATCAAATACAGTAGCAGTGGTACTGTCATAAAGCATGTGGAATTGGTTCCTGAATGAGATTTTTTAATCTGTAAACAAACTACTCATATTTATATACTATATTTTATCACACATGTCCATTAATAATAATAATGCTATGCACTTCACAAACTTGTCAAAACTTCTCAAAGCACTACACTGTAGTCATTATTCATCCACTCCCCTTCTCTGTATAACCACAAGACAATCTGCACAACTGACCCTTTTGACCACCACCAAACACTCCTGCACTCACCACTTTCATACTAGGAAAGGTGAGTTAAGTGTCTTGCCTAAGGACACAACAAGAGAACTTGGTTCTCTGTTGTTCAATGAGTACTCTAACCATTAACAACACTGCTCACACAACACAATGACCTCATTTGTTAAAGTTCTGCATTACTTTTATAGAGGTTTTGTGTAGTGAAATGATGCTATCATCTCAGAGTTTAGACATTATCAGACCAGTATAAAACCAATATGTACTGCATCCCCAGATGAAAGATGTCTATTTCCAGCCTTTGCTTTGGCTGTTTGAGATTTAAGTTGTGTTTTAAAACTGAGCGAGTTGTTTTTATGGCTATAGCTAGGTGTTATTTTGTGAATTGTGTCTGAGCGTCTGCTGGGCTCCAGTCCCCAGTGCCTCACAGTCCAATTCCACCTGCAGCACACATCTCTCGGCGGCGTTCCCTCCTCTCACTTCACTTCTCACACATAGCGCTTTGTTCATTTCCCATCCTGCAAGACTGACATCTCCTCCTCCTACATAACACATATCAAATGAGGGATGTGACAGGGGCAGATGAGGAGGAAGGAGGAAGATGAGAGCCCTATTTACTATCTATCCCATCACAATGAATTATAAAGGAGGACGAGCTCACGACGAGGGTGGCCTCCTCTTGTGCTGTTGGTTGTTCTTTGGTAGGCTGAGTCTGTTCACCATGCTGCACAATCTATTTGCTCCACTGCCTGCTTGGCATCAGCCTGTCCATCTGTTTGTCTGTTTGCCTCCTGGCTCTTGCCTGCCTCTCCCTACTGCCTCCACTTAAGCGGGGCTTTCTCGGCTGCTGCGATTCACATGTCATCCTGGCCCGCTGCACAAGACAGCCTAGTGCTATGCCAGTGCTGTGTATACACCTCAACCAGGCTACAGCCCGGCATCCATACAAATAGGCTCGCAACACTGACAGGCCATCGGTGCGCATTACTATTCACACACCAACTCATGCACACTCCCGCACATGCACACCACCTGACACAACCTGCTATTGCACCTTGGCAAGTTGAAATAAGAACTTTGCATGGCTGTGGCTAAATGAATAGAATAACAAGCTGTGTGTATCCAGCAGACAGATAGTAATGTAAAAGGAAGCCCTAATGAAAACGGTTTCTATCACAGAGGAAAGTTGCTGCGTTGCAGAGCTGTGATTTGTTGCTGTTAGCAGCCCTTTCATTTGGAGCAGACCAACTAAAGTACACAGTCCCCTCAACCACTTTGTAGCTGTCACAGCTCCTCTGCCCTCTGCGCTGCCTGGCACGCTTTGACATTGTGCTGAGGAGAGCACAGGCTCTTATCATCAGGGAATGACCGCCGGCATGGAGGTACGCACTGGGTGGGACAAATGGCTCTGTTAGGGGGGGGGCTTCTGCCACTGTTAGATGTTCACATCATCAGACGGAACACGCCATGACACAGACACATCTCTGCCACAGTCTCTGCCACAGTCTCCTCCTCCACATTCACTAGAGTCTATGTCTAGTGAACATGTCTCCTAACAAGACCATCACCGCTGCCTCTACCCACAGCACTCTGACATGACCAAGAGGGTTGAGACATGCTAACATGCAGATCTGTGACATTCAAAGAGAGGTTCAATCTCAGAATAGGAAGTGAACCTAAATCATGGCCTATCTATGATGTGTGACGGTGAAGAGTGAGAGGATGAGATTTTAGCTTTGGTCTAAAAAGTGAAATGACAGCAAAATTATTATGAACCAAGACTATTCTTAACCTGACAATGTACTTCTGCTAAGGTGGATGCTACTGAATGCACACATTTGAATTATCCCATGACTAAACCTTTTTGCTGTAAGGTATTGTCTTTAATTGTAAGTCATCTGCAGAGGAATCCTGCTCTGCAAACTCTCCTAATCTACCATTTAGACCCTAGAAATTAAAATTTGCTGGGACAATTGTGCTTTGTTTTGTAAAGGAGCACTCCTATTAACCTGACCAGCCTTGTCTGCCAAAATCCAAATCAGCTTGTGCATAAATGTCCACAAAATGTGAACCTTTTATAATGAGCTACTTCAACAATGTTGTTATTTCATCAAACAATCATCATCCAATTTACATCAGAATGTCCCCTTCACAGATTCATTGCAATTGATAATTTATCTTAGGTTTGTTCTGACTTCCCAGCCAGTGAGAACTAAGTAAAAAAAGAAATAAATAATAATATGCTAGCCAAAGTACACATGTTTTAATATGCTTGAACTCACGTGGTGTCAGCTTGAAGGAGATGTAAGCAGCATGTTCTGTTTGACAACTCAGACTGTGTAATAGTCAGTGTAAATGATAAGAGCAATAAAGATGTGACTCCAGTGTAACATAAAAGTGCATTAAGGGGGAGGTCCTGGATCTTGTCCAAGCAACCTGCAGTGTAAAGTAATTCAGGTGTCCCAGAGGAAAAGACCCAGAAACTGTGTGTGAAGGTAGACCAGATGTTGACATTTGCTGTAGCCGAAGGATATCAGAGGCGAGCTGGTTAACACTGATTTAATGTGCTTATATTTTTACTATGTGTGAATGTGTCAGTCACAGTTCTGATAAATATGTGACACAAATACTATTACACATTTTAATTATATTATAAGAGTGACATTATACATTGAAATGTGTATTGAACTATGAAGTATATAATGTAATCCATTCACTGTGTTTTATAGTAACTGCTTTTACTATTAACTAAATGTAAATAAGTAATAACAGAACTTATAAAAGCCAAAACTCAACTTGTGCGTCACAGTTCTTGTTTTTTACTTCAGTTTTTTACCTCTTAAAGCAAGTACTTCTATGCAAGTTAGACTCTTTACATAGACAATCCACAATCTGTGACAGATGCTCACTCTGCAATATTACCTTCTCATTCATCCCCCAAATTTTTCAAAGTGTTTTGGATCAGAAGAGCAATGTTACTGCTTCTCCTGAAGAAGTCCCTGGTCATTGTGGAATTGTGAAATGTTTAAAATGTCATCAGCACATAACAAGATAAGGCCCTTGCAAAACTTGACACTCCATGTTACTTTCCTGGTGGAGGTCCCTTTACCTGCTTGTCTCCATGGAAAACAGTATGCCAAGTTAAAGGTCAGATTTGTGGAGAGGTGACCTCACTCAAAGTAAGAAAAAGCTACCCTGAAAAATTTTTTCAGGGTATTTTTGGCAACAAAATCACCTGTATTTGAATATTTGATGCAACAATAATAACATCTCCATGGAGACAAGCAGGTGACAGATCCTCCACCAGAAAAGTTGCATAGAGCACCTATAAATGAAAAAGATCATTATGGATCTTTCTCCACAACCAACTAAATCCACTAAACACTTTTCCACTTAAAAAATTAGATTATTTTTCTCTACAAAAATGATTGATAAGTAAAGGAATTCATTAAACCAAGTACTTATTTTTTTATTGTTTTCAGTTTTTATTGCCTTATCATCATTTTCAATTACAAACAAAATAACAGAATAAACACAGTAAGTATAATTTAGAGGCTCACACAACTGGGAGTGCAGCCTTACAAGTTTCACATAATTTGCCGACATGCACCCAATGATCATGTGAGCTGTAGAACAACGCCGTGATGAAGCCTCGGACAAACAAGAGGCTTTGTTTTGCCCACGTGAAACAGAGTGGAGTGTTCCCCAGTTATGACCTTTTCAATACATCTCCGGTACATATTAACCTTGTGGGTGGAGTGGGGAGGTGTGAGCGGGATGGACCGGGAATGACTGTCCTTCAGGGATGAGCCCGGTCTGCCTGTGTGTGTGTGTGCGGGTAAGAGAGAGAGTGGAGGAGGAGATGTAGCGCTACTATTAGCTCCACTAGTGAATGGATTCAATCAACAAACTGGCAGAGTGAAGAAAGGAAACGGTGTGATTCATTTACTCAGGCTCCCACTCCCAGCTCAACAGTCAAAACACATAGACTGAATAGTTTGGAAATGTCAGAGCTCTCAATGCACAATGTCAGCCGTGGTGGGGCAGCGTATTCATTTGAGGGAGAAAGCTTTTGCACCAGTTTAACAAGTCGGTTATTTAAGGAATTGAACTGCTCATAAGTCAAACCAATGTGGAGAAATGTGAGTATGCAGGCATCTTATGGTTACATTAACAATTCATTACAACTCCTTTGTAAGATAAAACTAAATAGACAATTAAAGTTATGGTTACACTGAAATGACTGCTTTCCACAAATTTTCCACTTTCAGCGACAATGGGACTTAGATGAATGCACAAAGGTAC